TCCTGTCAACAGGACAACCGGCCCAATCCGAGTCTGAATAAGCATGAATGGTCGTAGTCGAGGACGGTGATAGCCGTAACCCATAATCAATAGTTCCCTTGATGTACCGTAACACACGTTTGACCATAGCCCAGTGATCCGTAGTGGGTGAATGCATAAACTGACAAAGACGGTTTACTGCATAGGAGAGATCAGGACGTGTGATAGTGAGATACTGTAGTGCCCCAACTATACGCCGAGGCTGGTGTCGCTAGTGGTTTGTAATCCAACATCCCGGAGCGATTCAATAAGTCATTCATATAGCGCCGCTGTGACAGAACCATGCCCGAGTCTGATTGTACTGTTTCAATCCCCAAGAAAAAACCTGGTCTTCCGAGGTCCCGAATCTTGAAGATAGAGTCTAGACGCTGGAGCAAGGAGTTGACCAAGACAGCGTCACTTCCCATCATGATTATGTCGTCAACATACACTAACAGATAAACCTGTGAATTAGACGTGGTGTAGTAAAATAGCGAGACATCAGTTTTGGACGATGAAAAACCAGCCGAAACTAGGAAATCATGCAGCCGTTTAAACCAACCCCTCGGAGCCTGTTTAAGACCATATAGAGAGCGCTGTAAGAGACAAACATGACCTGGGTGTGCCGGATCTTCATACCCTGGGGGCTACTTCATATATACTGTTTCAGCTAGATGCCCGTTTAGGAAGGCATTATGAACATCCAGCTATCGTAATGTCCAGTTGTTCGTTATAGCCATAGAGAAAAGGATACGAACCGTGGTCGGTTTGACAACCGGGCTGAAGGTATCAAAAAAATCTTCACCAGCTACCTGATTAAACCCTTTGGCTACAAGTCGTGCTTTGTAGCGCTCGATCGAGCCGTCTGCATTCCGCTTAGTGCGGAAGACCCACTTGCACCCAATGATATTCATAGTTGGATTCGGTGGAACAAGACGCCAAGTGTTGTTGTGGAGCAGAGCATTGAACTCTTGGTCCATAGCGTCACGCCACTATGGATGCCCAACTGCTTGGGAATAGCACGTCAGATCAGTCGTTGCAGTTAGGGCCTGGAACTCCTCAGTGGTTCCTTTTGTCATGTGACGAAGGCGCATGACATGCCCCCTATCTTGAGGTTGTGTCCGTCTAACTCGTTTACGAGGCCGGACAGGTGGTGCCGCGGGCTCAATAGCCAACAGTGGTGCTTCTCGAGCCAAGGGAATAGGCTCAACTACTGGGGGCACAGTCCCTGTAGGTATAATGGGACTAGAGGCCCACGAATAGCTATCGGTGTTGCAACCATTTGCTGGGAACCTGTAGCAAAAGGGAAAACAGATTCGTTAAACCGCACATGGCGACAGATATAGGTTTTCCCGCTGGTTAGATCCATGCACCTGTATCCCCTATAAGAAGGTGGGTAACCTAAGAAGACACAAGGTGTTGAGCGGTATTCCATCTTATGCTGATTATAAGATCGTAGATGGGGAAAACACTCACACCCAAACACCTGGAAAAATTGATATGGTGGGGCCTTTTTATAGAGACGAGAGTAGGGACTTTCATAATTTAGGACTGAGGATGGAAGATAATTTATTAAACACGTGGCAGCTTCAAAAGTGTAGTCCCAATATTGTTGTGGGACGGACCCTTGAGCGAGGAGAGCCAAGCCCGTTTCGACAATATGCCTGTTTTGACGCTCAACTCTCCCGTTTTGTTCATGCGTGTAGGCACATGACTGCCGGTGATTAATTCCCAGGTTTTGAAACGTGGTATGTAATTTTCTGTATTCACCCCCTAGGTCCGACTGTATAGATTTGATAGAGCGCGAAAACTGCCGCTCTACCAAGACGCGAAAAGAATCAAACGTTTTATAAATGTAAGATTTTACCCGTAATGGGTAAAACCAGCAATAGCGGGAGAAAACATCAACAAATAATAAAAAGTACCGAAAACCACTAGAAGAGATTATCGGGGCAGGCCCCCAGATATCTGTATATAATAGATCTAGTACATTTTCACTACTATTATTTACTCTATCTAGCTTGAAACGTGATGATTTGTCGAGGTGACAAGCTGAACACGACCCGACTGCGTGACTATTTGGAGTAACCGAAACATGTGACATGATTTTATTTTGCACCACATTGTGAGGATGACCTAGCCTGCGGTGCCACACAGCCTGTAGCTCGAGATGAGACAAAAGCAAACGGACTCCGGGAAACAGATAGTGCATACAGACCTCCCGAGGCGGGACCCTTAAGCAGAACTGCCCTGGTTTTGGAATCCTTCACAAAAAAGCAATTGTCATGAAACTAAAAAAAAAAACTCGATTTTCTTTAGCAAATTTTTGAACGGACAATAATGGTACGGTTAATTTTGGAACATATAAGACATTAGACATATGCAAGGGTTTTGACACGGATTGAATGGATACATGACCAACTCGCGAGATAACCAAACCTGTACCATTTCCCACGCGCAGAGTGACTGGGCCACCATATTCATCAGAGTTGGACAGCATGTTCACGTCGGGAATTGCATGTGACGAGGCCCCGGTGTCCGGGTACCACGCATCCGGAGGTGGTGCGGCTGCCGTGGTGTCACCGGAGACAGCTACGTTGGCTTGGGCGGGCGGCTGCATGTTGTAACGCTTGTAGCAATAAATCGCCGAGTGACCATGAGATCTACAGATTTGGCATCTCGGAGATCCCCGGCCACCATTTCGTCTGCCACGATTGTTGTTCCGGCCACCATTGCAACCGCGGCGACCACCATCTGCATTCGGATTGCCGTTGCCGCGCCCACGCCAGGCGTACATTGCAGTGTGGTTGCTGCCACTGCCTACATCCGCCGGAGGAGCAAGATCATCGCCGAGAATAAAATCTGCCGCCTGCAGATAATCCGAGAGGGTGGGCAGACCAACTGGAGCGTTGGCAGTGAGCGATGCAACATGGGACCTGTACTCCGGGCGCAGACCACGCAGAACATACAAGTTCTGTTCGGCCAGTGAGAGCGGTGAGCCGGCTTGCGCAAGAGCTTCCACTAGAATCTCCACACGCCCGAGGTAGTCCGCCGGAGATGCGTTGCCCTGCCGGAGCGCTTGGAACTGACCAAGCAAATTTAGGCATTTCGCCTGAGTGTTGGAGCCGAGTGCCGTAGTGATGGACCTCCACACGTCTGCCGCCATATTTCGGCCAACCGCCAAATGGAGCACCTCATCTGACATTGAGGAGATAAGGAGGGAGAGGATCGACTGATCCTGTTGCACCCATGCCTTGTACGCCGAATTCGGAGTAGGCTCGGCGGTAGTGGTTCCCGAACTGAACTCGTCGATGGAGGAAGCGACCATGGCCGCCGGCTAGGGATGGCTCCCGTCAATGAACCCGATGAGATCATGGCTACGCAAGAAGGGGAGCAGCTGGGTACGCCAGAAGAGAAAATTACGTTGCGTGAGCTTCATTGAAATAAAATGGTGAGCTCCAGCGAGGGGGTTGACGCCGGCCGGGGAGGAGCCACCGGCGGCGGACGGGGTTCTTTCGGAGGAGTTGGAAGACATGGCGGAGGGGGTTACGTAAAAATTAGAGAGAGGATCGATTAGTTAGGCTGATACCAGATTAATGCGATGAATTGATTAACCGTAACAGAAAGGATTACAGATAGTATATCAGAAGTCTACCACTAAAGACTCCTAACTATTAGGCTAGTAGAACTAGACTTAATCTCTTACCACACACTAACATACTATAGACATAACAATAATAATAATAATAATAATAATAATAATAATAATAATAATAATAATAATAATAATAATAATAATAATAATAATAATAATAATAATATAAACTGTACTAACAATGGCAAGTCCTGCCTCTTTCTTTCCTTTTGAAGCGGCTGAAGAGGCCAACTTCCCGTTCATGCTATTAGAGGAAACATGAACCGTCTATCTACCTTGAATGCAATTACAAGAGGATGAAACCTATATACACAGACTATAAGGTAAAAGAAAAGGATTAATACATGCAACGGCGCATCTATTCCAATTACATGTCTACTGGGAGTCTAGAAGATTGAGCATCCCAGGTACAAGGGAACAACGATAAACTCTGGTTGGATCAACTACATGTAGGAGCAGATGCTTCACTGTCCAAGTTGCGCTTGCTCGTTCATCTTCTCTGTGTCTCTTCTGTAGTAAATTGGCGAAGGCAACTCCTGCATGTGGCCTCTGATGAAATGATTGCACGCGGTGTAGGTGGTAATGTGCAAAAATACACCCTGTTACTCCCTCAAATGGCGATAAACAGAGGAAATGAATCAGTAACCAGTGCGGTCCCATGGTCGTGGCGATGGCTTGGTACCTTGAAAGCCTGGGTTCAAGTCCTCTCCCAATTTTCAGAATCTTCATTAGCTCCTTGCAATTCCAGATTTTCTCCCAATTTCCAGAAATTTTTTGAAGCTTCTCCAGAATTTTTTGTACCTCTTTGCTTGTTGATGATGACGTAACTCTTTGTTGCGTTCCCCACAGACGGCACCAAAATGATAGTAACTCTTTGTTGCGTTCCCCACAGACGGCACCAAAATGATAGTACTAATTCCTACGTACTGTATGTATACATAAATGTGTGTATGAACAAGACAAGAATATAGATCAAAAGGGCTCTTTTATTCATCTTTATTCTTGGTCTTTCTTTGTGTATGTAGAGAGAAGGGAGAGCTTTGGCTCAAAAGAGAGAGAGAGAGAGAGAGTAGTCTAAAAAGTGGAACCCCCTAACCCAAAGGGCCAAAGGCCATTTTATAGGATCCACCGAGGTGGCGGGTTTGACCCGTCACCTTTGACCCCGACCCGTAGGCCAAGACCCGAACCGCGAGACCCTGACCCGACTGTAAGCGATGGCACGGACCCGGGGTATATAACTTGTTAATGGCTATGTTATTTGTTGAAATCCTTGGAAGTTGATCTTCGGCACCAGCCACTCTATTCACTGACAGCAAATCAGCCTTAACTATTGCTGAAAATCCTGTAAAACTGTATTCAATGAAAGGACAAAACATATTGAGCTGGACTGCCACCTCATAAGGGAGAAATTACAGAATGGAACAATCAAGTTGTTACATGTTCCTACCACAAATCAACTAGCTGACGTTTTTACTAAACCTCATGCTCCAACCACCTTCACCTTTTTCACATCCAAGCTTGGTCTACATAATATGTATGATCCAGCTTGCGGGGGATATTTGAAGATAACCAAGCCAGCAGCCAAGTGTGCCAAGCAAAGTAGACAGTTAGTTAGGCTTTCTTGTTCTGTTACTTTCTGTTAGGAAGTTAGCAATGTAAATAGCTTTTATATTTGTTTTCCCTCCCTGTATATAAGCCACCCTTTGGCTCTTGGTTACAGATGATAATGAATTCTCCTTTTGTTCTAACCTTCCTCCTCTTCTAAATTTTGTTAGTGCATGCGCCCGGCTGTGGCTATGTTGTGTGCCAAACGCGCACAACATGTAGCCCTTTTTTTTTCCATTCTTCCCACCCCTTGCAGGCCAATTCTTCTCCTCATTATTTCTTCCCCACACTAGTTATTAACCCCACCCAAGAGAAAGCATCTTACATTATCCCCCAATTCTCCCCTTATAGTGGATACTATTAGTATTGGTCGTTTTTCCCCTACATGTTTCATGTGTTGTGAGATGTGTGTCGTAGGTTATCATGAGAAAATATTGAACAAAATATTAATATTTGTTATATTTGTTTAAAATACTTGGTAAATATATATATATATATATATATATATATATATATATATATATATATATATATATATATATAACATATTTTGTATTATAAGTTTATAACTTTGATATTTAATTAGAAGATAATGTAAAAAGAAGACAATAGACAATGTAGTGAATATAATAAATTAATAAATTTGAAGGTAAAGAATCTTTGAATTGTATAAAATAAAGATAATATAACTAATGAAATTATAACTCTTTTTAATTTTTTATAATGAATACTTTTTAAATAAAGGCATTATAGACATCTAATTCTAAATTAATTAAATGGATATATATATATATATATATATATATATATATATATATATATATATATATATATATATATATATATATATATATATAGAGAGAGAGAGAGAGAGAGAGAGAGAGAGAGAGAATATAGAGATTAGGATTGAAAGTTATGATAATATTAAGATATTTGTTATTTGGTGTAATACTTACAACTAGACTTCAATTAATGAGTTTGGTTAGGTATATATAGGAAATTTAAGGGTATACAACTACTACATTAATAGCATGTGGCTATTTAAGGTCTCTAGTCCTATAACTGTTTACTTTAATTCCTCATACACCAACTAGACCTCTCACTACTCACTTTTTTTTTTGGTGAGGAAAGAGAGGCTAAGCCTCAGATTAAGTGATTCTACGATAACTGCCCCCCCCCCCCCCCCCCCCCCCCCCCGCGTTATGAGCTAGGAGGGAAACAAGACCTTCCATTGCGTTTGTGAACACACTCGTGCCCCAATCTTTCTCTTGCGCAAGATTAGCCAAGAAATCTGCGCATGCGTTACCCTCCCTGAAAGTGTGGTTGAACGAGATCCCCTCGAATCTGGGCACCAAGTCAACACAGTCGTGTAGCAGTGTACACCCAGAATCATCCGCATCGTCTTCACCATGTAGGAGATCAATGATGGCTTTGGAGTCCATCTCCACCATCACCCGAAGAACCCCCTTTTCGAGGCAGAGCCATAGACCCTCCCTTAGGCCCCACAATTCTGCTACGAAGCTATTGGCTTTACCGATCTTTGTTGTGAAACCCCAAACCAGTCTCCCCGTGCTGTCTCGAACTAATCCACCTGCGGAAGCAAGGCCCGAACTACGTTTGGCTGCTCCATCCGTGTTAAGCTTGAACCAACCTTGTCTTGGAGGGAGCCACTGAACCCAGACTGCGCGCGCTTTGAACACTTCCCCTATTTTTTAGAGACTAGAGAGCTCTCTAACCTGTGAATTAACCTAATGCACAGTTGCTAGAGGAGTGTTCTTTTGATGTTGGAACGTCCAAGCATTTCTGTTTTTCCATATTGACCACAAAGTAAACAAAAAAAAAAAAGATGGCCAGTGTCGAATGTGATGAGTGGAACAATTTTTTTTGATCCAATGTTCCACCGTCCAGTGAATGGGAAAGCTAAAGTCTGGAGGTGTATCCGAAAGCTTCCACGTGACCTGAGTTGTGCCGCACTCCCAAAAAAGATGCCTTAGAGACTCTTCTTCTGAACCGCAACAAGGGCAAGAATTGGACTCTGCAATGTGTCTCCTAAACCGTTCAACGTTGGTCAGCAGCCGTCCTTTGAGAATGAGCCAGATAAAGACCTTAATTTTTTCCCAGCAGTTCAACTTCCATATCCACTCCCAATCATTATTGTCACCATCCATATTCCAGCAGTTCAACTTCCATATCCCTGCAACACAAGAGTAAGCAGATTTTGTCGTAAACTTACCTAATTCGCTGTTTGTCCATCCAATGGAGTCTCTCGCCCTATCATTGAGCGTGATCGGTATCGCACGGATGTTGTTGATTATATTCTCTAGAAGAATCTCTTGTAGTTTCGGTAGGTCCCAAGTTCTGCTAGGAAAGATGAAGTCACTCACCATGCAAGACTCGAGGCCCTCCGGTACTACAACATTCTGATCAAGGCCAAGCGGAATGTTTCCTACCCACCAATCTGTCCAAACATTTATCGAGCGACCATCCCCAACTTTCCACACAGCGTTGGATATGACTGTTCTTCTACCTCTGATGATGCTTTTCCAAGCCCACGAGGCGTTACCTGGCACCGAGGAGGAAAAGAACTCCCCTTGTTTCACGTACTTATCTCTCATGACTTTGACCCAGAGCTTATCAGAATTGCCACACATTTGCCAAGCAAGCTTAGCGAGAAGAGCGTCGTTGAAATGGCTTGCTTTCCGAAGACCGAGCCCTCCAGAGTCGCGGGGTTGACATACTTCATCCCAATTTACCAAATGAATTTTCTTCTTATCTTGGGTATCCCCCCACAAAAAGTCCCTACAAATCTTATCAATATTATCGCACGTGCCTTTTGGGAGGGCTAGAGCTTGCATTGTGTACACAGGGATCGTCGCAAGGGCCGACTGCGTGAGAATCCTTCTTCCTGCGAGACTAAGTGAATCACGCTTCCACCCTGAGAGTCTCTTCTTCATTTTTTCCAGAATATACGCGAAACTATCTTTAGAAACTCTCTTATGTAAGATGGGGATACCCAAGTATTTGCCCATGTTGTCTGACACCGGGATCCCCGCCACCTCTCCAAGTCGCCGTTTGACCCTATCACAAGTGTTAGGATAGCAAAAAATAATAGATTTATTAAGATTGATGGACAAACCTGATTGCGTGAAAACTTGTCAACCACCGATAGAATGGATCTGAGTTGTTGTTCCGAAGCTTCACCAAAGAGAATAAGGTCATCTGCAAAGAACAGATGCGAGATGTCCGAGCCCCCACGAGCCACCTTGTAGGGTTTCCAACGACCAGAGTTGACTTCCTCTTGAATTGCCCAAGAAAGGGTCTCCATGGCTAGAATAAAAAGATAAGGGGCCAAGGGGTCACCCTGCCTCACTCCTCTACCCACCCCAAAGGCGGGAAGCTTGCCCCCGTTCCAGTTGATAGAAATGGTGCTTTCTTTGAGAGAAAACATGATAAGAGAAATCAAACGAGAAGGGAAGTTAAACTTGCTGAGAACCGCCTCTAGAAACCCCCAGTCAAGACTATCGTAGGCCTTATGGATATCCAGTTTGAGGACCATGAAGCCCTTCTTGCCCTTAGCTTTAGTCATATTATGTATCACTTCTTGAGTCAAGACCACATTGTCCAGCGTAGACCTTCCCGGTAGAAAACTATTTTGGAACGGGCCCACCATTTTCTTCATGATCGGTTTAAGCCGATTGACCAGGACTTTGGAGACAATTTTGAAAATCACGTTTAAAAGCGTGATTGGCCTGAAGTCCCCCGCATTTTCAGGATTCTCTTTTTTGGGAATTAGGGTCATGTAAGCTTCCAACATACCGCTTGGGATGGTACCTGAAGTGAGACAAGAGTTAACAAAATGTGTTACCGAGTCACCCACGATATCCCAATAATGCCGATAAAACGCTGCTTGGATTCCATCAGGACCCGGACTCCCAAAGCGTTTCATGCCGAAGACAGCCTGGCGGACCTCATTTACCGTAGTAAGTCGGATCAAGCTTTGGGCCTGTCTATCACTAATGGCGCGACCGCTCACGAAAGTAGGGGCCTCTCTAATATCATCTTGATTCCTGCCAACAAGACATTTGAAAAAATTAGTGATGTGTTCTTTAATGATTTGAGGATTGGAAATCCACTCACCGTTGACTTTTAGCATGGTGACCCTAGCACGATTCCTTCTAACCAAGGTTGCTCGATGATAGAAAGTAGTATTTCTGTCACCGTCCTGAATCCAGTCCTTGCGAGATTTTTGATGCCAGAAAACCTCCTCTTGTTTCAGGATATCGTGGAGATTGTCAATAAAGGTCTTTTTAAGCTTCATCAAACCCATGTCGGAGCCGTAGTTAGGCGTGGCCTGGATCCCCGCGATTCTTGCAAGAGTGTTTCTTTTCCTATGGAAAATATTCCCGAAGGTTTTGTGATTCCAATCTTTAGACAGCTTGGCCAGCTGATCAATGGCTCCTGAAATGTTATCTGGGAAAGAATTCCAGGCTAGATGTCAGATGCCCCGATAGTCTTCTCTCAAGAGCCAAGTCGCTTCAAACCTGAAAGGCCTCTCCTTTCTCGGAGGTGGGGAGCCCGCCACGCTATCAAACTGAATAGGATGGTGGTCGGAGTGCGTGCAAGGCAGGATGTGGGCTTTTCCCTTCGGAAAGAAGAGCTGAGCCTCCATATTCCAAAGAACCCGATCCAGCTTCCTTCTAAGCGTGACCCTTTCTCCCACTTTCCTATACCACGAAAACCTGGATCTAGAAGTCCCAAGGTCCATGAGCCCACAGTCATTCACAGCTTCTAAGAACCTATCAACAGAACTGGCAACGATCTCGCCAACCCCCCATTGGTCGGCTTGCCCCGAGATGTCATTAAAGTCTCCAAGCATCACCCAAGGGTCTTTGAAGGAATTGGAATACTCCTTACAGCCCTGCCAAAACAAATCTTTTGCCCTACGAGTGGGCCTAACATAAGCAAAGGAAATACGAAAGTTCTTACCGTCATGGCGAGGGATCAACGTATGGATGGATTGAGAGTTATGTCCCACCACTGTTAACGGGACACGATCTTTATTCCAAACCAGAAGAAGACCACCCGCAAACCCAAGAGGATCAACCATAAAGGAAGAACAGAAACCCAGCTTGTCAGCCATATTCAGTAAACCACCAGCCTCTTTAGTCTTTGTTTCCAGAAAGCAAAGAGCGCCAACCTCAGATCTTTTAAGGAGCTCCCTGGCGTGACGCCTGGTGCCTCCACTCTTGACACCCCTACAGTTCCAAGCAATAACAGTCATTGGGAAACAACGGGGGTGGGGGAAAAAATATTACTGCTTTCCTCCGGTGCGTTATTCAGGTCCATAGAATGGACAGTGCTGACTGAGGGGTGTCCAAAAACTAACGCGCCAGAGTTGGCCAACGACTTGTCCACCGGGCTAATGTTACTAACGCCATTTTGCACGTTAACCTTGTCTGTTCTCTTTCTGCCTTTCCTGCCATTGGCTTTTTTGGTCCCTAAGCTGCTAACCTTCTCTGCCATTCCAGCATTGTCATCCACGTGGGATTCACTCTGAAAGCCAAAGTTAATGTTAGTGTTATTTAAATCAAGGGTGGCAGCAGATTTACCTGCGTCAGCGACGGAGTTTGTAAGGCCACCGTGGGCTTCCCTTTCCGACGCTGGAGGTATGTCCCCATTACTGAGCTGCACCGAATCCTCTTGGAGCGCTGAGAACATGTTGGGAGACTGAGCCGGAGCCTTCCCCTTGTCCTTTTGCGACGTGTTAGGAGGTTGTGATAGTGCCTTCCCTTTTTCTTTTTGCGTCACCTTGGGAGGGGACTTCTTGTTCTGTTTTCCCTGTTTCGCGTGCTTATTTTGGACGATCATCCACTGCCCATACCTCCGCATCTCCGGTGTAGGTTCCGAAGGGGTGTTGACGATGGTCTCTGTCTGTTCCATAGGAGAGGCGGCCTGTTGTTCCGGCTGATCAACAGCCACCTGCTTGTTCTTTGGACAGACATTGGATCTATGTCCTACTTCTCCACAACCAAAACAAATGGTATGGAGTCCCTCGAATTCCACCTGCTGAATCCAATCATCCACAATAATCATAGACGTGAGAGGTTTCTTGAGGTCTACTTCCACCGCAGCCCGTGCAAAATGTCCCTGATCAACTCCAGTGGTGGTTCTGTCCAGTTTCACCGGAGTTCCCACCTGTCGAAGAATCTGTTTGATTGTGTCGTCTCGAAAGAGCTCCACCGGTAGTCCTGGCAACCTAACCCAGACTGTCATCTTCTCAACGGTAGCTTTGGCCGGATTGAACCTTGGGGTCCAACGTTGAGGCACGACATAATGGTTGAAAACTTTATAGGGATCGCCAACAAGGGCGTTCATGCAGTCACTCGCCCGATTGAAACGGGCAACTTACCAGTTATAACCCAGATCAATCAACTGAAATTTTCCCTCTGTGTTCCACATCCTAGAGAGGCGGTTTAGCATAAGGTTAAACGCGATCCGCTTACCAAGAAATTTCAGAGTCAGAGCGTTCCTCTAAGGTTGGACGATTTCTTTCCGGAGCTCCTTTGAGAACGTGACCACCGGGACACCCAGTGGGTTCTCCGGGGGCACCACATCCTTCTCCAAGGCCGCTAAAATCTCATCGTTGAGCCAGCCATCGTTATCAGCTTCAACCATCGCGTCATCGCCGGATTCAGGGACGGCCGTAGTCGCCGTCACCGCGTCCGCAAATGATCTCTTAGACCCCCTGAATCTCTTGAAGGTCCTTGCCGAATCTCCATCTGGTGGGGCGCCGGGCGCCGGCGGTAGATCCGCCGGAGCATGCATGGGAAAGGAAAGAGCGGGAAAACAGGATCACTCTCAGACTTACCAAAAGAAACCAACGGTCGTGTTATTACACTCTAATAGTTAAGAATTGTTCAATCAATTACCTTATCCTCTCACTACTCACTTTAATTCCTCATACACCAGAGTTGAGCAGAAGTGCGTGAGAAACAATCCTAGAGATATTCGTGTTGATTCTACAACAACAGTCCACGATCACTCAACCTTCATCAGTCAAAAACTATGGTCGGACGTTAGTACAAATGTTACAATTATTGATTGTCACATAATTATGTAGCTACGTGACTTATTTTCTTACACCACAATACCAGGGTTTGAATGCGATTTTTAACTATTTTATTGGCTTATAAAACACAAAATTGTGTACAGAAAGGTATCTTGTTTTGAATTAAAATGCATAGTTCATATTATAAGTCATTGTAAACCTATAATTTTCTAGTATCAATCAAGAATTATACTTAAGAGTGAAACGATATTAATTACCTTGCGTCTTGTCTCCAAATACATCGTTCTTACTATCATTATATCTTGTATTTTTATACCTAATTTTGCATTGGTATAGAATGGGAGAAGAATTTAAATAACATCACTCATATTTTTGCAAGTATACTTTTTGCTATTCCCCATGTATACTCTAGTTTTCATAACATTGCATTGGTGTCACATTAAAAGTTTTGTGACTTGTTCTTCATTATTTCTTTATATTTACTTTACATTTTCCTATGCATCTATAAACACCAAACATTTGAATTAGTTCCATCCATTACTTAAACTTTAATAGTTGGAATAATCTTTTAAAGTAACGGCTACATAATCTTGATAAAATATTTGTAATAATTTATTAGAAATCATCTATTTTTATTTATATTTTTAATAATTTGATTAAATTTGCATACTTTATAATAATTAGATTGAGTTCTATTTTTTGTATTATATCTCCTTATGAGAATAAAGAGATATATTATATGTCTATGATTGGGGACTATAAACCCTTTAAGTATATAAAAATGTGTATCGTATTTTAGTATTTTTAGTGTAATCCCTCATCAAATTATAAATATTTTTTATGATATACACACAATAATTTTAACAATTATACCATAGTGTAACACATATAAGCATATATATGTGACCCTAATTAGATTTTTAACAATCTCCCACTAGATCACATATCTACAATTTTAATAAGAGCCAATAATGTTAGACTCTTAACTGGAATAAAAAAAAATGTCCGTACTATTGTTTCTTAAAATTAATGGTTAATATTATTTTAATTTTAGTAATTTTTAATGATTTTCCTTATTTACCCTCTATTATATTATTTTCTTCCCTAAAATAACCACAAATTCAGTTAGTATAAACTTTAATAACGGAATATTCTGTTAACTATTTATTATTCTTAACATACTCATTAATTTATATAAGAAAGGTTTTAGGTTCGAACCACATCCCAATTAGAGTTGGCATAATTGTTAAACATATATTATGAATATGTTAAAATGTATTAAAAATATATATAATATAAAATTTAACATAAACTTTGGTCAAATAATTTGATGAGAAGAGAAGAAGAGCGGTTTAGAGTTGAAGCATAATGTGATGGGAAGGCAACAGAATCATTTTTTGTTATTCATCTTGGAGGTTCAGCCAGCTTATATACATGGTGTAAAAGGAGGTAGCGGGAAGAAGAAGTTACAACTAACAAGATATGGAAATTACAAAATAAACCCTGAGCTATATTACATTAGGGTCCCTGAGCTTTGAGTTTGAGTCTTCCTTGTTGTTCAATACCCCCCGTAAGCTGGAGCATGCAAGTCTTGTATGCCCAGCTTAGACGTGAAACTTTGAAACTGAGCAATCGGTAAGGGCTTTGTGAAACCATCCGCTATTTGATTGGCAGACGATACCGATAGAATCTTGAGTAGTCCTTGATTTAATTTCTCCCAGACAATATGACAATCGATATCAATATGTTTTGTGCGTTCATGGAATACATGATTCTCGGCTATAGCTATTGCTGATTTGCTATCACAAAATAAGTTTGCTGGCTTGTCCATATTGACTTGTAGGTCTTGAAGGAGGAAAGTTAACCATTGTATCTCATAAACCGTAGCAGCTAAGGCACGGTATTCAGCTTCGGAGGATGATTTGGACACAGTAGCTTGCTTTTTGGATCTCCACGAGATGAGCGATGATCCTAGGAACACACAGTAGCCCGTGATAGACTTTCAAGTTTCACTGCAAGTTGCCCAGTCAGAATCTGAAAACACTTTTAAGTTGTAAATCCATATTGACGGGATAAAGAAGCCCTTGGCTTGGTGATTTTTTAATATACCGTAGGACCCGGTGTGCAACCGTGAGGAGTTGATCTGTAGGTGCATCTACAAATTGACTCAACTATTGGATAGCATAGGTGATATCCGGCCTTGTAGCTGTGAGATATAAGAGCTTGCCCACCAATCTCCTATAGCAGCTAGCATCTGCAAGAGGAGTGCCATCATGTGTCAGTTTCTGGCCATGAAGCATTGGTGTGTTGGCTGGTTTGCAGCCCAAAAAACCAGCCTCCTCAAGGATTTCTAATGCATATTTGCGTTGGCAATGGTTGAGGCCATCTTCTGTTGAACATGCCTCGATTCCTATGAAATAACCTAGAGTCCCCAGGTCCTTGATTCTGAAGGTGTTATCCAAAAAAGTTTTGAGCTCTTGAATCAAGTCTAGTCTTGCGCTTGTGACCAAAATATCATCAACATATATAAGCAGAGCCATGAAGTCAGAAGCGGTTCCTCTGGTGAAGAGTGAACGGTCTGACTTGGATTGTTTAAAGCCAATCCGAGACAGAGTGCTGTTGAGTTTTGCGTTCCATTGTCTACTAGCTTGCTTGAGACCGTATAGTGATCTTAGCAGTCTGCATACTTGATTTGGTGAGTCAGCTTGAAAGCCCGGGGGAAGCCGCACCATATAAACTTCTTCATTGAGATCCCCATGCAAGAATGCGTTGTTGATATCCATTTGGTGTATATGCCAGCCCTTTGAGACAGCCACTCCTATGAAGGTGCGAATAGTTGTGATTCGAGTTACTGGAGAGAAAGTATCCAAATAATCTATCCCGAGTTGTTGTGTGTAGGGTTGCTAACGAGCCGAGCCGAGCTCGAGCTTTGGGTAGCTCGAGCTCGAGCTCGAGTTGTTAGAGGGGAGCTCAAGCTCGAGCTCGAGCTCGTTCGAGCTCGGAAATGGGGCTCGAGCTCGAGCTCGTCACAATGTTGAGCAGCTCGAGCTCGGCTCGAGTTGCTCGTTTGTTCGAGCTCGAGCTCGAGCTACTCGACTTGGATTCGAGTTCGCGAACATGTGCTCGAATTCGAGCTCGATTCGAGCTCGAATTCAAGCACAATTTGACCTATTTAATACATGCTGAATCAGAACTCAAAAAAAAAAAAAAAAAATCAAAGTCCAAAACAAAGCTCTCCACACAAGTTTACAGCTTCAAATCTAAAGTAGAAGTCTACAACAACATTACAAAATACAAACAGATTAAACAACTTCACATCAATTCAATACAAGTTAAAGAACTTAACATCAACTTCACACTCGCCATGCTTTTCAATCTTCACTCTTTCCAGCAACAACGCCCTGTCAAAAAAGATTAGGAACAATCATTCTAACATAACCTGCAAATCTTTAGATCTTAAACACACTAACTAAATATATAAAAGCTGTAAATGATCAATATATAGATTTTAATTGAGATGTTACTCATGAGTTGGATACTGGAAGATAAAGTGTGTAACTTACTTTCATGGGTTGGATACAGGAAGATGAATTTCTTGATACGATTTCTCTTTCTGAAAAAAAAAAAAAAAAAAAGATAAATTAACATGTAATTAAACAAATATTTTTAGAAGGCAATGCATCATTTAACATAAAAGTTATAAATTAAAAATTAACTTACTTTGTTTTTGGTAACTCCGTGTATATGTCGAAGCCAATCACCCCCACAGAGTAAAGCTTGTACTGTTTTCGGCAGCAATGATGCACGATAAGAATCAATTACTCGTGTCCCCGCACTAAACGTTGCTTCTGAAGCCACCGTGCTAACAGGTATAGCTAAGATATCTGCTGCCATTCTTACCAATATTGGATAGTGCATTCTATTCATCTTCCACCAATCCAAACAAGAAAAGTCTGCAGCAATCTCACTTTTCTTAAGACGGCCTTTTTCAAGATAGTCTGCTAACTCTGATTTCTTAGGCTCTGAAGTTTCAACTTGAGCACAATAATCATCAAAATCATCCCAATCGTATGTAGAACTTTGACGGCTTACTTGGCTCCCAAAAGTTGTAGAAGAACCTAAATTTTCAGAAATGCCTTTGTTCATTGCTTCAGCAACATACTCTTCATAAAGAGTATGGATGATCTCTTTCACTTTTGAAATGTTTTCCTTAGCTTCAATATCATAATACAGTCTAGGAAAACAAAACTCAACAGTAAGCATCTTCTTTGTTGGATCAAAAACAGCACCTATAGCCATCAACAAA